AACCAAGACCGCCCTCCAGTTTGAGTGAACACACGTACACACGTACACAGCATAACAGCAGGAGTTATCAAATATGATTGCTTACGCAGAGATGAAGAGATCAATTGTATTCAGCCAAATATAACCAAAGGAAAGTTGGCCTTTTAAATGGTACTGTGAATTGGCTGAATGGCTACGACCTGAAAAAAATGGAAAGGCCGAGACAGCTTCATATAATAGATGGCTATCGTTCGTATCATTTCTCGTTTATAGCTTTGAGAGGCCACGAACCAGGCCTTCAGGAGACCTCGTCCACCAATAATAGAGATGCATACAATGTCTGATAATTGCAGTGGTATCGTAAGACTCAAGAAAAAAGAAATGTATCTATGTATGATGACGCATGGATACTGTATGGTCACTAGCACCGAAAACAAAATCGGAGAACTGTGTTCAAATTTAAGCTGAGGCAGTTATTTTTTTTAACCTATCTCTAGCCCCGGGATGTTATATGTACGAATTTATTTCTCAGTACATTCTATCTTATGGCCAGATAATTGGGTAAAGATTTTTTTTTTCTGTTAAAAGAAACTTAAAAGAAAGCAGGTATAATACCATGTTGGGAAACAACTATCATTCACCAGGCCGTAGAATACAAAAGGTTTCTTCATAGCAAACCCCGACGAATCTCCATACAAAAATATATATATAATCTCAAAACTAAATTAGAAAAATTTTTGTCCTCCTCTTTAACTAGGAACGTAGTCAAAAAATAAAATAAAATAAAATAAAATAAACTCCAACTCTTGGACGTTCTTGTGGAGCCAGGTAACGACGTATTCGCTAATTCGCTGCATAAAAAAAAAAACACGAGTAGAAACACTTGCTACCTTAATTTTACTAGTCAATATCCTCTTAGGTATAAAATAGACATTATAAATCAGTTCTTCATGTGAGCGCAATATACACCCAATTTATCAATATACACAAAATTTATACCCCCAATTCATCAATATAAACCCAAATTATCAGTATACACACAATTTATACACCCAATTTATCAATATACACACAATTTATACACCCAATTCATCAATATAAACCCAAGTTATCAATATACTCAAAATTTATATAACCAATTCATCAATATCAACCCAAATTATCAGTATACACAGAATTTATTAATATACACACAGTTTATCAATATACACCCAACTTATCTTCATAAACCAAATTTATCAATACACACACAATTATTAGACAATTCGTTAGTGTATATTGGGATATTCCTACAAAAAATGAACTTAATATGTGCCATATTAACTTATTAACACTTAGCCTAAAATCCGCTAGTAATTATAAAAATAACATTTAAAATCTTGTATTAATTATAGGTTACTAAAATAAATCCTGCATTACAGGTTTATAAAAAATCCGCTGTTAATTATAGGTTTCCTCTATAACCTATTAGTGCCTACCTCACCAAAATAGAATCAGTCAAATAAGATTTCCTAATATTTCATTCAATCGATTTGCCAAAGCATCATTGATTTAGCAAATAATTATACATAATACATATATATAATTTAATGATGGCAAATATCAGGTCACTCAAGTTGGACAGAACTCACTACTCAATCTATCTGGCGTAGTGAGTTCTGTCCAACTTGAGTGACCTGATATTCAGTCACTATACTCGTATCAGTTATGTTTTCGTAAGGTTTCTAATTCATAATCCTGTATATTTAAGAGTAAATGTAGTAATCATCAATTTGCAGTTGAGCTGGGTAGATATAACAATAAGTTCTATGCTAACAGTTTCTTTTTTTCGCAATTTACGCTTGTGAAACTCACTTCCGGCTAAATGTTTTCTAGCCAAGTTGAATCTGCAAAAATTTCATTGCAATTTCAATCGCTGTCTATCCTCTGGATTACTGTTCCCTCTTCCCGCTGATTATTAATGTTTCTCTTCCACACTCTGTAACACCTTGTGTCTTAGTGGCTTTACTGTATTTTACAAGATGATACCGATTAAAAAAAGACATATAATGGCTATTTCTGGATAAAGAAGCGCACACACACACACACACACACACACACACACACACATATATATATATATATATATATATATATATATATATATATATTGAAAACCGGAGTAAAAAAATAAGAAAACTCTTTAAAAACGATTAATGAGCCATTATTATTATTATTATTATTTGTTGTAACCTAGGGAAGATTATTGAATAGAATAATCACACTATGTTTGGTAATGAACGATAATGCTTTAGACAAAAACAAAAAAAAACAAAAACACATAAGATTCGCCAGCGCCGCGTAAAAGTAGCCAACTGCTAGAAGTGAATTCCACAGTGAATGTCCTATTGCAGACCAACATACAATATTTACTACTGTATTAATATGAATAGGGACATACCCATTATCGTCCGTAGGTATGCTAAAACATTATTATTATTATTATTATTATTATTATTATTATTATTATTATTATTATTATTAACCCTTATAAAAGCGCACGATTTAAGAAAATATAAAGAAAACAGTGTAGTGTTTAACATTATTTCAAGAGGATGTCTCTCTTCTTCATGTTATGTTAAATTGCTTACAAGTATGAAAAATATAGTAAAAATAAGTCTTTGTACAAACATCCAGTCTACTGGTAATGAACGCGACAAAATGAGTGAAAGGCAGTCAGCGTAAATAAATTGCAATTGAAACGTAACATGATGGGGATCGTGTCAACCTGAAAAATTCCTTTAGTTGATTAGCTAGAAACATCAATTAATCAGGCAGTTTAATATAAGTTTTATGGAATTTCTGCCATTTTATTTCGTTCCCTTGGGGTAGAACCTTCTTCAATGATTCTCCACGCCAATTATAAGCAAGATGAAAAATGATAAACATAATTCCCTGTTACATATCACTCAATGAACCTAATAAACACCTACGATCTACTACAAAAGTTTAAAACATTTAACTTAATTATTACCGACAAAACCAGGCCTTATAAATCCACCTATGTAAAAATAATGTTGTCCCATACCAGCTGGGAGATTGCATCTCGAAATAACATTAAATAATTACAGTGAACACACATGCACCACACTCTCAGGCAGATTGACCTGTCACCTGTCGAAACACAGTGCAATCCATGCACACATCAATCAACACATTATGAACTACGAAATTACAACAATCAAAATAAGACAAATATTTATGGATAGCACTAAATACAAGGAAATGCAAGGAAAGATTCAAAAACTAAGTTATTATTATACAAAATAAACAACCCACATTCAGCACAGTAGAGGGTATCGTGAGGTGCATATGATATAAATAATGTGCTCACATATTTTATAAGTATTATGAAAATAAAACAAATAAATGGCAACATTTTTGTCCGGCCTCGTTCCCAAAGGGCGTTACATATGATGCCACGACTGACCATTTCACATTTTCAGTTTCGCAAAGAATACCGAGAGGCAGACAAAATAAACCAGATTCCACATTAATTCTTGATAATGATTGCAAAAGTCAAAAGTAGTTGAACAAAAATAACAAAATATGAACGTCAGACAGTTTATTGACAACTTCATGCACAAGAAGACTCAAAAGATTATTCCGAAAAATACTATAAAAACTTAAATTGACAGAGCTTGTCAGTTCTTTTAAATCAAATTTGTTTGGATGAATATTTGCTGCCTATATATATATATATATATATATATATATATATATATATATATATATATATAGTCTTCCACAGACAGAGTGTTTCGCTGCAGCACAGCTTTTCAGTGTGGCTAGACATTCCATAAATAATCGGTATCGGCCCGTGCAAGACAGTAAAACAAGGATACAAGAGGTTACTGGATATGTAAGAATTAGCAACATAAACATTAATAATGAAGAGAAAAGAGTAATCAGGAGGACAGTAGATAACGATAGACGTTGCATTTAAAATTTTGAAGTATCGTATACGGAACCGTCATATAGCCTGACGTGCTTTTACCGATTGAGCCACAGAGGATCGTTACGGTTAGCAAAGCAAGATAGATTTTACTGTTTTTAAACAACAATTCTCCATGATTTTCTCTCGTACATTCATATCTGCTCGATGCGTATCTAAATGTAAACAAATGACGTGACATCTTATGAAATGTACAAAGTCCGACAATTATTTTAAGACATTTTTCATGTTCATACGTACTTTTTTAAGATACACATCGTTAAGTAAATACTCTGTTTATAATAAACAGTATTAACGACATTTACCGGCCTGAATAAAAATATGTCTTAAATATAATTGTCGGATTCGCATATTTTCTATGAAAATTTCTCGGACGTTCAGGCCGGTAAATGTCTGTTTATTATAAACAGAGCATTTACTTAAATATTTGTATATATAAAAAGAACGTATAAACATAAAAATGTCTTAATACACACACACACACACACACACACACACACATATATATATATATATATATATATATACCTCCAAATATAAAAGAATGAGGAATAAGATTTCAGCGTTCAAAACATCAATTTAAAACAGGGCTCAGTACAAAAATAGAGCAATAAATATTTATTTATTATACAGTGTTACATTAGAAGATGCATATACCCACTACAAAACTGTACATCATATTTCAACGTCAAAAATTTTTTAACCTTTCATCAGGTGAGAAAATCATGATTTCCCACCTGATAAAATTTTTTAAAAAATTTGATGTTAAAATATGATGTACAGTTTTGTAGTGGGTATGTGCATGTTCTAATGTAACACTGTATATAATATATATATATATATATATATATATATATATATATATATATATATATATATATATATATACAAATGAGAGAAAGAACGGATGAAGTAAAATTCCGCTGTATGCAGTATTTACTTTTAAAAATGTTCTCAATACAAAGTCTACAACGTGTTTTCTTTCCCCCACCTTTACCTTTCGAAAAAGAGGTATCAGTTTGTTATTGAAATTATTTAAAAATTATTTAATCACCAGTCACTTACCATTCGCCTGAATAGGCACCGCGTAGTATCAAACACGAAAGCTATTGTATAGCGATTTCAACATGTTTTTGTTCTTTCATGTAAAATAATATATATATATATACATATATATATATATAACTCGTCAATAATAACATTTGCCATTCTGTTTGTGAGAATATATTTTTTCCTAATAAACAAAGAGGATGTTTTTTTCAAATAACGAAAGCAATGAAAAGTCATACATTTAAACTATAAATGAAGGTGGGAGTTATTAAACGCCAACAAGTTAATCAATACCAAAAGAAAAAAACAACTAATCCGCATTTATACATCAAGAGTAGCCTACATTGTATTTATTTGTTTTAGATTTATCAATTTATTTATCTTTCTATTCACTGTGCAATGCTCAATGAAACTGGACACACGCACACACAGGCACGCATGCGCGCGCACACACACAAACAACCAATAACTATAGAAAAAGACAACACACGCAGCACCGAATGGAAAAAAAATAATACGTTTAAAATGCATTGAATATTGTTGCCTGCGGCAACGTTTATTTTATGCAGGGCCCAAAGATAAAAGTGGTCCCTCAAATGTTTTTTCTTCTAGAACTAAAATATCACCCTGAGGGTAACATTTTTAAAATTGGTGCCCGGGATACGTGCTGTCTTATTTTACCTTTTCTTCTCTGCTACGACAAGAAGAACAAGAAATGTCCTCCTCTTCGAAGGAGGAGAAGGGCATCAAGAAGCCGATCATTTCCCGGGCAGCATCTTTAATCTTTTGGCGGGATCCCTTGTCAAAATATGACTAAATACAAGCATCACCTATTGACGATAATTAGGGAAAAGCATTAAAGTCCCTTATTCCTTAGCTGGGCGTTTCACTGAGCGACTAGCATCAAGTTTCGTTGGATGCGTTAAATGAACCCTAAAACACTGGGAACATCAAATGGAATCCAGACATTTTAATAAAATGTTCGAGTTGATGTTAATAAATAATTACAAAAATTCAGTTTTCAAGTCAGAACATTGCGGATTTTATATGAAGGTAAATAAATGTTTAGTTTTAGATATTGATAACTATTTATGCTTATATATATGTATGGACGTCTTCAAATTGGTATGTGTAATCGTGTTTTTAGACTTTACTGAGCATGTGTACTGATATCCGTGTATAAAGGCTAAAATGCATGCGTTGGGATTTTGCTGGCGTTATTTGTTTATCTCTTTTGTATGTGTTTTTTTTTCGCTGGCTACGGCTTTGTAGTTACAATGATGAAGCCGTAATAGACAATGATACTTGTAATTTTGAGCTTCATAACAGACTGTAATCCAATTCTCTACTTGTCTTTCTTTTATTGCGTTTAGACTATTTTTTTCTGTTTGGTTTTATGCCTTTCCTTATTGTTTTAGTATTGTTGCGTGACTGCAGCGTTTTGAATACGTTTTTATGCATGAGTTTTTCTTAATTTTAGTTCCGTTCAGTTAATTTCTATTCTTTATCTCTCTTGGTATTTATTTCTCGTTTCTCCATTTTTGCTTTCTTCTTATGTCTTCTTCAGTTTTCCTGTTTTCTTTCGTCTTTATTTATTCCTTTCTTTTTCATATTTCGTATTCTCATTTCTCCTTTTGCCATTTTTCTCTTTCTATTTTCATAATGCTTTCTTTCTTTTGCTCTTTTTTTTGTTTTGCTATATCCCTTTCTACTATTTTCTATTTATTTCCATTTCAATTTTGTTTTTTTCTTAATTTAATTCTCTTATCTTTTTTCTCCTTTTATTTCTTTCTTTTCTTTCTTTCATTTCATTTCTTTCTTTCTTTCTCTTCTTTGTTTCTTTCCTCTTAATGTCATATTTTCTTTTCTTTCCTCTTTATTTATTTTCTTTTTTTCCTCTATATTTTTCTCCATTCACTTTTTCTTTCTTTGTTATTTCGCCGTCTATTTTTCTTTCTTTCTTTCTTTCTTTCTTTCTTTCTTTATTTATTTATTTTTCTAGGTCCACTTTTTCTTTCTCTGTTTTCACCATCTCTTTTTCTTTCTTTCTTTTCCTCTTTATTTTAATACATCCACTTTTCTTTCTCTGTTACAGTCACCCTCTCTTTTTCTTTCTTTCTTTCTTTCTTTCTTTCTTTCTTTCTTTCTTTCTCTTCATCCACTTTTCTTTCTCTGTTATTTTTACCATCGCTTTTCTTTCTTTCTTTCTTTCTTTCTTTCCTCTTGCTTTTTCTTCATCCACTTTTTCTTTCTCTGTTATTTTTACCATCGCTTTTGTTTCTTTCTTTCTTTCTTACTTACTTTCTTTCTTTCTTTCTTTCTTTCTTTTCCTCTTTATTATTTTCTTTCTTCCTTTATCTCTACTTCCCTTTTTACTTTTCTTTTCTCCTTTTTTGTTCTTTTTTTTGTTATTTCTTTTACCTTCTGTCATTCTCTATTCCCTAAACATGTCTATATATTCATCTACTTTTAATTAATATATTTTTTTTTAGAATGTTTCCCTCTTCCGTTTCCCTTTTATTTAATTTTTTTTTTATTTTGCTCCTTGTTTTACAAACATTTTCCCGTTTTTACCGTTTCATTTCGCTTCTGTTTTCTGTTCGTTAGCATTAACTTTTTTGCTTCAGTTATATACCATTTCATTCCTCAAGTTCGCGTTTTCGTCACTCTTTTTTCATTTAATTTCTTCTGTCTCATTATCATCTTCATGCGTTTTTTCACCATCATGTTTTTATCCTTTATTTTAAAACCCAGAATAAAAAAGAGAATGCACACACAAAACAAAACACACACAGAAAAAAAAACCACGCACGCGCAAACAAAATGAGAAAATAAAACCGGAGATAGATGAAAGGGCGTAACCATTAAAAGCAATTAATTTTCGGTTTTCAATAGAGAGTAGCGACAAAGCCTGGAACAAGAGGAAGTTTAGGGTGGATGTAAATGGAGAGGAGAGTGGATAACGAGATCTAGATTAAATCGTAAATGTAAATAAATGAATCTATAACTGTAATTCTGATTATACTTCTAAGATTATATCTCTGGCTTTTGACAATAAAAAGCAAAATGTATTCAAAGCAAATTCCAGTCAGAAACAGAAGAAAATAAATAATATTAATGACGATATTCAAAGAAATAATAACACAAAGTCGTTTTTCCTTCCTATTCATGATTATCGTTGATAATGATGCCGAGGTGATTTCAATAGTTTAGACAGCATATACACACTCATATATATATATATATATATATATATATATATATATATATATATATATATATATATATATATATATATATATAAGTGTGTGTGTATTAAAGAGGACACTGAGGTCAACAACAAATGACGACAGTCTGTTTTATGCTCGAACACGATCTTCAGGCCATGTGTCGCAATTACTTGAATTCAAGGCCATTGCTTGAACGCACTTTTCAGCACTTTTCAGCCACATGTCCTGAAGATTGTGCCCAATCATGAAACAGACTGTCGCCACTGGGTGCTGACATCAGTGTCCAAATAAATTTTATAATTACATACGCTCTATCTCAGATATTAAGCAATTTTCTTCATAAATAAAGCATATCTTAAAACTATATTTTATCATATATATATATATATATATATATATATATATATATATATATATATATATATATATATATAGTGGACATTTCAACATCTAGCGGCGAAAGTCTGTTCCATGCTTAAACGCAATCTTCAGGCCTTACGATTGCATTTAAGTATGAGACAGTCGGTGCGGGATGTTGACATCAATGTTCACTTTTATATTTACATACGCTCTGTTCCTGATATTGAGCACTTTTTCAAAGCATAGCTTAAAACCATATTTACATATATATATATATATAGAGAGAGAGATAGATAGATAGATAGATAGATAGATAGATAGATAGATAGATAGATAGATAGATAGATATAATTTTTATTTATTGGCCATTCACTGATACGTCAGTGGATCTGTATTTCGATGGATAGAGTTAGTAGCTGAAATTTGATTCGAAATTCTCTGTATATAATAATATGTATAATATCTAACGTGATTAGAGGTTTTAGATCAAGTGCATTAACAAGGAAATATATTGTGTTAAAAAATGAATAAATATTTGTTTTTTAAAATGAAATACTTCCTTTTCCCTATTAGGAACATATATATATATATATAGAACATAGACATAAAAAAATTCCCGTTATTTTCTCGCTTCCCATTTCATAATTAACCTAACATTTGCTGTTTTCCCTTTTTTCATCTTAGTGTTAATACATCATTTTTATAACGATGTTATACAATTAAAGCGAAAATAAACACAAAAAACTACCCTTCAAAAAGAATGTTCACTTTTTTTTAAATGTTTGAGTTCACGTTAGGGCGACCTTTTTCCAGCCGTTTAAGGGTTAAGGTAAAAAAAAAAAATAATTATAATACTAGAAATATTCTGCTATTTTTTGACGGATTCAGTATACTAGTCAAAAGATAAAAACTTACATAAATTATTTTCTTTTTCTCTTTCTTCTGTTTTCTTACCTTCCATCTATCCTTTTATTTTTTTTTGTCTTTATTTCTTTCTTTCTAGTTTTATTTCTCTCCTTCTTTCTTTTTCTTACTTTAATTTTTTCTTACTTTCTGTCTCTCTTTATTAGCGAAATATGTCTCTATATTTATGTACATCTAATTAATATATTTATTTTTAAATAATTTTTCTTTTTTCTCTCGATTCATTATTTAAATTCCGTCCCTTGTTTTGCAAACCATTTTCCTTCCTTTCCGATTATTCACTTCTCTTTTCCTAAGACTGCTAGCATGTGTTCGTTATTTTCCTTTTCCTTTTTATCTGAAAATTATAATATGGAGTTCCACAGAAGGATTCTGAGAATTCCATGGATAGAGCGAATAAACAACGAGAAAGTCATAAAAAAGCAATAAAATGACCAATTACGCTCAGAACCAGAGAGAGACATTTAATGAAAACCTATTGAGAAAAGTAGGCTTGGAAAACTTAATTCTCACAGAGCATATAATGATCAAGGAAGATTGAGGAAAACAGCGAGCAAGTGACCTGTGGATATGTGTCAATAGATGTTGGAACGGTGGGGCGGGGGTCTTTGGCAAAGGATAAAACCTGCTAAGGACAACAAAGGATAGGAAATCAAAGACAACGATGATTACCCATGTCCAAAATTGACATAGCACATAGAAGATATAATTCCGATAACCTTTTTCCGCCGTTTAAGTGCTAAGGAACACATGTGAAAAAAATTATAGTGAGTAATTGAAACGTTCTACTATTTTTGATGGCTTCAGTATACTAGCAAAAGATATTAAAAAACCTATATAATTTACTGATATCAATATTAAAATTATTTGTATTAGTAATAAAGATTTAATCTCTTTTGATAAAGAATCCTCAAGTTAGCTTATAGACGACGAAGCCAATATAAGTGAGTTGTGAAATTTTAAACACTAGTTGCAATAACTTTTAATAGGCATAAACATTTGAGGAAGATTAAATATCTGTGAATTTTTTTAACAGAGTATGGAAAATGCGACACCCAGATCTGAACACACACGGAATTAGCAAAAGAAGCATTCCAAAACTAAACAAGGTACTGAGAAACGGAATAATTTCGTTAGCTGCCACGAAAAGAGTGCTGGATTGCTATTTGATATGTATCATCTTATATGGCAGTTAATGCAGGAAAATCTCCCCATGAATGAGGAAAAACTGGAGGCAGCAGAAATGTGGTTCTACAGAAGGATAGTGAGAATTCCATGGACGGAGCATGTAAGTAACAAAGAATTCTTAAAGAAAATGGCAACAGAAAGAAGATTTATACTCAGAATCAGGAAAAGACAGCTAAATTTCCTTGGAGACTTAATGAAGATGGAGGACTTCGAAAATTTAACACTCACGTGGCATATTAACCGAGATAAGGGAAGGCAGCGAGCCACTTAGCTGACCTGCTTGTTTGAATTGCCGACAGGACAGGAATCAGGAGCCTTAGAAAAGAGAGAAAAACTGCTAAGGGCTATAATAGGAAGTTGTGGAGAGTCATTACCACGCCATGCCCTGAAGGGAGGCAGCACATAGAAGAAGAATCAATAAAGGCTAATGTTAGCAGACTGGAATTAATACTGGTGATTGCGCAGTCAGAAATAAAATAAATATTACAATTGCATTTGTTTTAATTTAATTTTCTTTCTTATTAAGGAGTAATGTTCTTTTTTTTTTAATTCTCTATCTGCAAAAATCAAATTGACCATCAAATAAACAAAAACAAAAACAACAGCCAGTTTATGAAGCTCATATAATTTTTATCAGTTTATGAATATAATTTTTATTTTGCCTTCGTAATTTTTCAACTTGTTTTCCCTTTGCTATTACTTTGAGATCATATCTTAATAAAGTAATGTTATTACAAACATTCGCAAAGCTATCTGTTCATCACTGTTGATATAATTCGCTTTCGCTTTCACTTTCAGTTTTATATATCGGCCATTGCCCAGACATATGATATTGAACAACTCAAAGGGCAAATATTTTTAATGTTTCACTGATACGAATAAACAATTACTTTTATTTAATACACGAGCAATTATTTTTCTACATTACCAGGGCTACTATAAATTATATGAAGTAATTCTTATTTTCAAATTTTATGTTTTAAAAGCTATTATAAATTAAATACTAAAAATCCGAAGCGATTTAAAAGATTACTCAATTTAAAGATAGATGAACTGAGAGATATGAAACAATTTACTCATTCTCCCGTTATTAGTGCAATACATTCAGCAAAATAACACGAACTAAAAGTATCATGGACAGCAAGATCAAAGCATTAACACGTGTTAAATAACATAGCGGGATTAAAGAAGAATAATGTAAGTTTCGGTATCACGTGATCACGTAATAATATGTTTAATAAAAATTAATAATGATAATGTCTGATTAAAACCCATTAATTACTTCATTGGAGTAGATAGGTTCGCCTATGGCCCGGTCCGCAATTCTTTTCTTTTTTTTTTTTTTTAACAGTCGTAGAGGTTTATCCTTTTTTTCATGTTTAGGACTGGATTTCCGGTTCCTTTGAAATACTTCACATTCTCTTTCATTCCCAGTAAGCACTTGCGTCTTAGTGGCATTATCGCCTTGCTTCGGATGAAACGATTAAAAAACCATAAATTTATATAAGATTTTTGATAAAATCAATATTTGTCAAGAAACGGTTGAATTAATGAAAAAGCGCTAAATATAATTTAAAAGAAAAAGAATAATAATTATAATTTGAAAGAAAATGTAAAGTATTTTAAGAGATAAAATATTTACAAAATAATCCTTCCTCCTATTGCGGTTTATACCAATTGTGTATTACCAGACAGTAAATTAAATTTAATATCCCAAGACATCTTATATAAAAGGGGAGGAAGAAAAAAGCATAGTAGAGGGGTAAAAAATGTGT